TTGTTAATTAGGTCAAAATGGCTACTGTGTGAATTTCTTTAAGTACTCATACTGCTTAAGTCTGAGTCGTTTTGCAGAGAAAAAAAAACTGCTGCTCACGTTTATCAATTATTAAAATAATGATTAACTATTCAGGGCATTGTTGTTAGCGACTTATGGTTTTTACCGACATGGATCTTTGTTTGATGACTTCTGTTAATGCGACAAACTTTTGATGGCTTCTTACAGGAACCTATACGTATCACCATGCTTCTTAGTATAAACAGATATTAATATTATACCATTATTGCCGTTTTGAGGTCAAAAATATGATGACGCTACGTGAAGAGTGCAGTACAAAGGGCGAGATGAAAAGTGTACTTCGCAGGGTCGTTAACTAATCTTATTGACAAAAAAAGCAATTATTGTTTTTATAATATGATTAAATGATACAAACTCGTTAAGCAGAGCATGTCATCTTTATTGTATACATTTGTTGAGTCGCCCGCGTGGCGCAGTGGTTAGAGCGTTGGCACTAGAGTCGCAAAGTAAGGAGTTGATCCTTACGTCGCAGGTTCGAATCACACTAAGGGACGTGGACACCGGTCCTTCGGATGAGACCGCATAAACAGATGTCCCGTTTCACAGCAAGTACTGGCACAAAAATGATTCCTCAACGCTCAATGGCTCTAAGGCATTTCAAGGTTAACTCTATGTTTAACGTCACCTCTAAAGTTCAAAACCTACGAGGGAGGGAGGGAAAAAATAAGCAAACAAAACTTTTAAACATTTGTGAATTTATTCAAATTAACCTATTCAGTACGTTAAAACACTATTGAGTAATAAGAGTGTTGGATATGATTGGTTGAATGAATGTTGTTTTACGTCTCATTCGAGAATTTTTCACTCATATAGAGACGTCACCATACACCGGTGAAGGGCTTCAAATTTGTACCTTTACTCGACACTCAGGGCCATTGAGCAATGAGGGATCTTTATCGTGCCAACGCCTGCCGTGACATGGGGCCTCGGTTTTTAACGTCTAATCCGAAGGACCCGCAACTTTCACTTTAAAGTGCTGAGCGCATGGCGAAGGAACAGTTGCTACTCATTTTTTATCGACTTAGGTCAGTCGCGGCCGAGATTCGAACTCGCGACCTCCCGATCACGGAGCGACCGCTCTACCGACTGAGCTACCGTGAACAGTATATAGGATATGACATCTAAGTCTCATTTCCTACGCAGAGTTTTTCTTTAGTATGTATATTGGTTTGAGTACTTAAGGAACATTAATATTTCAAAAGCCTGCAATAATTCCTCTTATGTTGTTTGGGCGATAAATTTCTTTTTCAGAGCTTCGGAAATATTTACTTAATACACTTCACTCATGATGCGACGCCTATCAATAGAACCTTCCCTCAAGGTGTACAAAGACAGCTATGAGCTTAAAGAAATTGAAGAGAAGGAAAATTAACTGATTAAATAAATCATCTTAAAGTTGTGTTACGAAGACACCGTGTCCCTTAAGACGCTTTGAAAATTATTTAGGAAGAGCCCTGGAATTATGCCTCTGATTTCTTTCATATGCATACAAGGCAAGCACAATGCCAGGCATAGTGAAAGGCCCATATTTCCAGTCCAACGAAATGGATTGCATGTTCGTGGGTTTTTTTCTGCAAACTTATGAGTAGGCCATTGCAGAGAATTTTCCGAGATTTTATCATTTGCAGCTGCACAATCAGTTGTAGAATGGTGAGGTGGGATGAAAGTGTACCAAGTGTACAAAAATTTGCAAATATAAAATTCTGAACAAAGAAAAAAGTAGAGACAATAGATGGATAAAAACAGAAAATTTGAATTAAATGTAGAAACAGCTAAATTTTATGAATTAAAATGATAATATATGTTTGTTTGTTTGTTTTTTTTAATCATTTTTAGCTCTTCTGAGCCAAAGGCTCAAAGAGCTAATGCTATGGCCATTTGTGCGGTGTGCGTAAACTTTTTAGAATATGGGCCATAACTCAAGAACCCCTTGGCCAATTATTGTCAAATTTGTCACAAGGTATCCTTGGCCCAAGGGCTCCCTTTTATACTAAAACTGGGGTTGTGACCCTTTAACAAGGGGAGATAATTAGGAAAATAGAAACAAAAGTACTGGTTGCTAAAAAATCTTCTTCTCAAGAACCACTGGGCAGATTATAACCAAACTTACACAAAAGGATGAGGATATGTTGTAGATTAAAATTTGCACGGGGATTTACCCTGGGGCAAAGGGCGTGGTCTCAAGGTCACTTCAAAGTTGACGAAAAATTACATTTTATTAAAATGTTGATATTTTGCTTACTATAAGGACTAGGATCATCAAATCTTGTCAGTTGATGTATCTAAGGACCTCATATCATGTTGACTCAAAAGTAGGTCACGGTGACCTACTTTTTAAATTTTGCGGCCATTCTTTTTCAAAATGATTTAAAGGCATATTTTGAACAATTTAAGGCCTATGATCATCAAACTTTGTCAGTTGATGTATCTTGGGTCCTCAAAGTACGTCAACTAAAAAGTAGGTCACCTTGACCTACTTTTTGAATTTAATGGCTTATCTTTTTCAATACAATTAAGGTCATTAATTTGAATACCGAGAGGTTTAGAATCATTAAATCTTGTAAGATGATGCATCTTGGGGCCATAAAACATATTTATTAAAAAGTAGGTCACAGTGACCTACTTTTTGAACTTGGCAGGCATTTGATTTCAAAGCATTTTAGAGGCATAATTTGGACATTTTAAGTTCTATGATCATAAAACTTTGTAAGATGATGCATCTTGGGTCTTCAAAAAAGGTCAACTGAAAAGTAGGTCATCGTGACCTTCTTTTCAATTTATATGACTATAATTTAATATTTCAGGTATTAATTGGCTTAGAATCATCAAACTTTGTCAGTTGATGCATCTTGGGTCTTCGGAGTAGGTCGACTAAAAAAGTAGGTCACCATGACCTACTTTTGAAAATTTTTGGCTTTAATTAAATATATGGGGTACTAATTGGCTTAGAATCATCAAACTTTGTCAGTTGATGACTTTTGGGTCTTCGGAGAAGGTCGACTAAAAAGTAGGTCACCGTGACCTACTTGCAAAAATTTATGGCTTTAATTAAATATTTCGGGTACTAATTGGCTTAGAATCATAAAACTTTGTCAGTTCATGTGTCTTGGGTCCTTGGAGTGCAACAACTGAAAAGTAGGTCATGGTGACCTACTTTTGAAAATTTATGGCTTTAATTAAATATTTTAGGTACTAATTGGCTTAGAATCATTAAACTTTGTCAATTGATGCGTCTTGGGTCCTCGGAGTACAGCAACTAAAAAGTAGATTACGGTGACCTACTTTTAAAAATTTATTGCTTTAATTAAATATTTTAGGCACTTATTGGCTTAGAATCATCAAACTTTGTCAGTTGATGCATCTTGGGTCTTTGGAGTACGACAACTGAAAAGTAGGTCACGGTGACCTACTTTTGAAATTTTATGGCTGTTTTTAATATTTTTAGGAATTATTTGGCTTAGAATCGTCAAAATTTGTCAGTTGATGCATCTTTGGGAGTAGATTGACTGAAAAGTAGGTCATGGTGACCTACTTTTGAAAATTTATGGCTTTAATTAAATATTTCAGGTACTAATTGGCTTAGAATCATTAAACTTTGTCAATTGATGCGTCTTGGGTCCTCGGAGTACAGCAACTGAAAAGCAGGTTACGGTGACCTACTTTTAAAAATTTATGGCTTTATTTAAATATTTCAGGTACTAATTGGCTTAAAATCATCAAACTTTGTCAATTGATGCATCTTGGGTCCTTGGAGTACAACAATTGAAAAGTAGGTCACTTTGACCTACTTATAAAATTTTATGGTTATAATTTTAAGAAATATTTTAGGTATTAATTGGCTTAGAATCATCAAACTTAGTTGATGGGTCTTTAGAGAATGACAAGTGATAAGTAGGTCACCATGACCAACTCTCGGGTACTAATTGGCTTAGAATCATCTTGGGTTCTCAGAGTGTGAATTGGAATTTCAAGGGTTTATCTAAATATACAGGATACTTCGAGGGTTCAAATAGAAGTGATAGGTTGCACAGGTTATCAGAAGAGCGATTCAAGGCCCATGGGCCTCTTGTTATAGTTGCATTACACTCAATACGACATCCACTTATTCTATCTCCTATTTGAACGACATTAAGGAAGCTCTAAACACTGCATACTAAAGAGTACTATTTGTAGGGTAATTTTATTTAGTTAGAGTGATTTGCCCTTAGAAGGAAAATAGAATAAATGGGAATCTACATTTAATGACAAAATTGTTATGAATTAAAGTATTCTTAATGTTATGTTAGACTAAGATTAAGTTATTAAATACATCATTTACATTAATCTTTCCGATGTAAGTAAACAACACCGATTTCTGTTCACAGATAGTTCATTGTCTTTAAACATTTTTCCTGCAGAAATAGGGCAGGTACCCTATGTTGAAAATAAACTAGATACACTGAATATGTGCACCTTTATATGATATATTTTTCTCAAAGTCCAAAAAGCACGTTTGATTAGTGTTGAGAGCTTCCTTAAGAGATAATTAGATAAATATAGGTGTCCGCCATTTTGACCTTTTAGCGCCATTTCCATGAAGGCCAACATATTTTTTCCGGAATCGACATACTAAAATTAGATTAAAAAGCCTGTACATCTGTATGACACTTTTAGTATCCTATGTCCTAAATTAATGTATTAACGTATAGTTTTTCCCTTTGGAAATACTCTAAAGTCTCTTCATGGAGTCAAATTTTCGTGGTGTACGAAACAATACTGGTATGAGGGGACTTAAAATTGTAATTTAAAAAGCCTCAAAGTGCAGTATCAGTTCAGTATCAGAGATATGAATCCATGGGTCTCTTCATTTTTTATGAATAACTAAAGTTATATAAATTTCAAGCTATCAGCATTATCACGTTTTACAGCACTTGATTTACCTTAGCTCCCATCCACGTGACCTTTGTTTGACCTTCCAAATAGCAATGATTGTTGTATTCCGTCCAAGGGTGCGGGCAACCTGTTTATTATATCTCATTAATAATTAATTAACATCAACATTTAATACTTACGCTGATTTTTTTTATCATAAAAAGTACAACTTCACATAAAAAAAATGAATTGCAGGGATTCATATTTTAGGAAAAGAAAAGTTTTTCTTCTTTTTGGAAAATCTCTCATAATTCTTTAAAGTTCAGTTCCAGTTTCCCTACCTTAATGGCCACTGACATCAATATTTGAATCTACACAACATGGGGATTTCTTAACTTTATTAATTAGCCATATATCTCGGAGTAAAATAAAATAAGTCTGAGAATATGCTTCAATATCAATATGAAATAGACGCTTTGCTTTTGACAAAGTTTAACAATTTTTTTTTACCCTTTTCTCAGATTTAGACATGTGCAAGATGTATAAATCTTGATTACATGAGAATGCATTCATACGAAATCTAAATTAATTCAGTAATTCAATTTTATCGGAGAAGATGAATACCTTTTTTCCGTTTTTCATTATGGGATAATTTTTCTGAATTCTGGCTCCCCACATTCACCCATCCACCACACGCCCACATTCCCTCTCCCCAGCCCCACAGAAGTATGACATGAGATACTTGTAACAAGAATTGGAACTTAATATCTAAAAAAAATGTAGTTATTCTTCCATTAATGTAATATATTTACTCTTGTTGTTTCTTAGAATATTGTATTACTTCTTATATAAACTATTAGAAATATTCATACTTTTGATGACCCAATCCTTTTCCTTTGGGTCCAAAACTTTGGTGATCTGTTAGGAACAAAATTTTAAATTCATTTTTCTTCCCTACTCTTCACCCATTCATTAACGATAGACCTTTACTTTAACCAAAGCTGTTAAAAACTCCAAAAGGGATATTTTGATTTAATGTTACCCAACATTCATGAGACGAAAATTTAAAGAAAGCTCCAATGTCTGCTCGGTTTTTGTAATCCCACTCAGTCTCAATTAGAAGAGAACAAATTGTAAGCATGTTTGGACTTTGAAAGTAAATTGAAAAAAAGTTTTCTTTAGTCTCTTAAAAGATTAAATACGTAGCGGTCGCCATGATCTAATTTAGCATTTACTCGAACCATATACTGAAATTTTTACATCCTTTTTCTCATTTTCTACTCTGTTGTTCTCGATCATCTTCGTTATTTCTCAATTTGAATTCACTTTGAGTAAGAATGCATTTTGAAAGTTCGTTTTTATTCTGAAAAAGGTTTAGAAAATATAACACTTGTAAAGAAATGTGCATTAAGCTGATGATTCCGTAGATCTAATACCCATTATCTCACATCATAGTACAATTCATTTTTTTTTTTTTTTTTTCTTCTTCTTTCCATAATGAAAGACTATTTGAAATGCACTATGAGAATTTTGCTCAGTTCTGACCAGGTTTTTTTCATATCAAGAAATACTGTATTTGTATCCACATAATATTTCACTAGATGAAATCCCGCGCAAGCGCGGGGAATTGAATTTAAACCACTACCGACAGAAAATATATTGTAGTTTCTACTGGCGACCTACAGGCTTATAGAAGGAATACTTTGTTCAAAATCCCACAGGAAGTAAATGTACGTCTCCACTCCCATCCCCATCCCACTCCCTTTTTGTAAAATCTTGAAAAATAACAATATCATTTAATTGACATTTATTGTGAAACCTGTTATACAATGTTATGGATATTGTACTTCAGATGCTCTTATTTCATTTCCGCCAAGGATAAAAGTAGTGAATATGCACATTTTATTGAAAAATTGATTATTTTTTTTTTTTGGGGGGGGGGGGGTGTTCACAGGTACTTATCAATAAGTTACCCGGTACATACATATTTATATACCAAAACCCGAGTACCTGTGTAAAAATTAGCTGTTTAACGCCCTATGAATAGGCCGAGTATTTGATACAAAAGACTATTCAGGAAAAAAAAAAACTGAAATGTATTGATTAAAGCACAAAATTTTACAGCGTTATTTATATTTGAACAATACCTTACATTATTCATTAATTTTCTCTTTTCATGTAAGCAAGTTTATTACGAAGTACAAATTGTACTTCGGGTTCGTTGCCACGATGCTCTCAGTAAGGAAAATACAAATTTTACCGATAAATTTAAGAATTTTACCGATAAATTTATTAGAAAAACCTACTACATATATGTAATAGTTTTTCGATGTATAAATATATTCACAACTTATAGTGTTATCAATGATTTACCATTATTTCAATGACCATTCACACAAAAGCTTTTTTTTTTATGTTCATGCAGCTACAATCGCCTCGTTTTTCTTTTTAACATCGGGCTCGATGCTATATGATGTTCTAGAAACTTCCGTCAATATTAAGATCGGTGAATGACGAAAATAATTTGCACATTTCCCTTTTTAATCGGTTATCACAACTTATTTTTTTTATATCATTGAAATCAAGTTTTGATAGAATAATAAAGTGATGACGTTTTATGAAATAAATAAACGATTGCTTGTTGTCAGTTTCATTAAAAACTGCCAGTAACTTAGATCCGCCAACCGGAAACGCCACCGTACTCACGTTTTTGCTATTTCATGGCTGTTTATAGAAAATAAAAGTAGACTTTTTATTTAATGTGCGACACTTAATATGCGAGTGAAATCTAAATATAGTTTACGGACATCATCTTGTATATAGTGTATTGTTAGAGGAGTAAGTAAGAACTCTGGTGCACCCGTTTCGGAGTTTATTTGCAAAATTTATTAATTTATAAGTATAGATATATCATAAAAATATATCTGTATCTACGATGATATATTGTACAAGTGGAATACATTGCGATGTTTCTAATTTCACTATGTTCGCGATCAGAGTATTTTCCGCAAGAATTAAGCCATCGTGAAAAATTGTTGACCATTCAATTTACATATGTAGTATTCAATTACCAATAGACTTTTTTTTTTTATTTTTGTAAAAGTAAAATAGTAAATAATTGAAAATCATTAGGAAATCTGAATTAAATAACCATGCCGGGTTAAAGTTAGGTATTGGAAGTCTTTACTGAAATAACTCATCACAACTTTCTTTACTTAGGAATTAACAAAATTGCAAATGTATAGTAAAAAGAAATTCGGTGACCGTGACATTAAAACCCATGAAATGTACCAACATAAAAAATCCTGAAATATTAAACACGTGAAATTAAAGAGGTTTACAGTACACGTTTTTGGGGAATAACATGAGATAATTTAGCTGTGGAGTTTGATGTATCCTAGTTTTTATAAAACTGCAGTCAATAAAAACTAGGATTTTATATGCAAGGGCTTTATTTTCGCGTTCTCCTCGAGCCTTTTTTCTAATGAAAAATTTATTTTCTCGTATATATGTATAATACGTTCTATTTCCACTATGGAAGAGTTATACTTCTTAATGCGCTCTTTTGTAAAAAAAAAAAAAAAAAAAGTCGGAAAATGTACAAATCTCGAGGGATTTCTGGGACAAACGTAACATAAACATGTAAACAATATGTTGAATGTCGATGAACAAATCCTAACAAAATGCAAATGAAATATTTTATTGTTGTGGACTTTATATACATCAAGAGTAGGAATGACACCGATATCAATTTATATCTATTGTTGATCTTATGTATCTATTTATGGTATGGTACATCTAATACAAAACACATGCCTCGGATGATAAATTTAGGGTTCTCGCTCTCTTACATATGTCTTTTAGTTCTTTTATTCTTTAATTGGAATGACAAATACATTTAACATTTAAAATTGGATTGAGATTGACATGTTTTGTATTATCCGCAACGCCATGCCGTCCCAGTCAGGCGACCAAACGCGCCTCTAATTTTGAAGAGTTCACTAATGGAAATCAAACGTATTAAAGATTTTAAACAACAAAAAATTCAGGGGAAAATTGTATTTTTTTTAAATGCCAAATATAGTCCCACATGCACTGGTAGGCAAAACTTTTGTTCAAAAAGACAATGTGAGTGATTGCAATGTTAAAAGATTGATTGTATATTGTTTTACGTCCCATTCGAGAATTTTTCACTCATATAGAGACGTCACCATATACCAGTGAAGGGCTTCAAATTTTGACCTTTACTCGGCACTCAGGGCCATTGAGCAGTGTGGGATCTTTATCGTGCCAACGCCTGCCGTGACACGGGGCCTCGGTTTTTAAGGTCTCATCCGAAGGACCCCAATGTTAAAAGAACATTGAAAACACAAAAATAAGGCTCTGAATTCAAAGTGAAATGGATTGCACAGGTATCACAAAAATTTCATGATCAACAGTTACACTCCCGCCTCTGGAACTAAACAAAATATATCTCTATTTTATTCAAAACTTTAAGAAATCCACCTTATTGTGTACGCTTAAAACAATAGATACATCAAAACCTTTTCAAGTCCAATTTTGGGTGCTAGCGTGTGAAGGTCGTGGCGTAATGTAAGTGCTAATGATTAATTTGTCAGATGACTCATTAGGACCTAACATGATCAGTTAACAGACAAAAAAATATGAAATTGTCAATAACACATGAATCATAAAATCAGTAGAATTAATGAATAATGATAGAATATTTTATATACATACATATATATACGCAATATGTACTTACTTTTACGGTAGTGCCCAAACCCTGAATTTACCTGGAGAAGAGACAGGTGCCCTTTACCTCCCTCGGGAGAGAAGTATAATTGTACACATTGTCTGTTGTAATGATTGTAGAGTAACTCCATACAGCACTGATCCGCTGCACATAAAACTCCACATTTAGAGAGACTAATTCCTCCAGTGTAGGAATATGACTGATAGGAATTTGGGTTTTTATACAGGTCGACCTTAGAGTAATGCGCAAAATTTTTATCGCTTGCTGCTTGCATAAAAACTGAAATTAAAACTATAAAACTAAAATTTGATAGATACGCCATTCAAAGAAATGTCCTTCGTCTTCTTATTTGAAATTCAGAACATCTTAAATGTGTTGGGAATTATGTATCAAGAAGGAAAAGATAGAAAATCCTTTCTAGTACACTGATACTATAAATTAAATTGTAGCTCTCTATAAGCCAAAACACACTGGATTTACATTGTGTTTAACGCAGTTCCTGCAAAGAATGCTGATCTAGAGTCAATTCATGATACACCTGAACCAAGTATTGAATGAGATAAATCAATTTTTGGCTTTAGCATTGAACGTCAACACACATTATAGATAAATGTTATATCATATAGCTTAAGAAGCAAACCATATCTTGAGATAACACTAAGTGAATTTCAGATTTCAAAAATTATATAAATTAACAGCGTTTTTAAAAAAAATAGTTTTTCCTCCCTTCATGGTTACATTTTGTTTCAAATTATTTCATATTCTGAAATGCAAACCATTTACGAAGAATCACATTCATAGATGGTAAAATGATGGTTAAAAAGATGTGGCGACTACCACATATAATATATCATTATTTTAATTGCAATGTCTCAGGTCCTTGATATTGTTTTCCGCCCAACGAAACATCAAATCTTCTTAATAAGACGTGTACTGGTTTTGACACAAATACGTTGTTTAATATTATGTCATTAGAAAGCTGTAAATTGCGGCTGCTTCTTGGCATACGATGCTTGTTCGAAATGTCAAACTTGTTGATTTTTTGTTTTGAAAAATTAAAGTTGAATTAATTATTGGTGCTTTTTATTATTTGAAGAAATCCAACAACTTAAAATGAATACATTGAATTTATTGTCATAAAGATTTGCATGCTTCAACAAGAAGCAGTATTGAAGGTCATACTTTTACCGTGGTATATTGCGAGTAATTAAAGCACGTTTTACAACCCCTTCGTTTTGATTTGCATTTCTCTGTACAAACAAAATCGAGTTTTGCAATAACAGATAACTTCATGAATTCTTCAATTGAATCGGAATTCAGAATACAAATGTTGTGAAATACACAGCATGCAATAACAATTTTCAATGCAGTTTCCACTTCAGCAGTGACTAAATACTGCAGCCTCTTAAATCTTCCTTTTAACAGACCAAAGGATCTTTCAATTGTAACCCTGTTAGCAGGTAAACGATTGAAGTGTTTTTCATCCGGAATTAAGTGACCATTGTCTCTATAGGGAGTCAGTAACCATCTTTGAAAGGGATAG